AGCTACACAAAGCAGCATCCGGGATTGATTGGGAGATAATAAGGCAGGTCTGGGAGAGCTCGGATCGATGCGGCGAAGACCATCTTTCGGAAACCTGGATGATTCACTCCCTGCGAAAATCTATCTACCTCTACGGCTCGTTTTTGCATTGAATTTGGGAATAAATAACGTGTTTGAAAAGTAATTGATTTAGCACCATAAGCTTCTAATAATATGCCTTTCAGAATGTATTTACTTCAGCGCGTTTCACAGAGGCGCAGAGCAGCGAGGGGGGGAAGGTTTTCGGTGAAGATTTACAGTCCCCTTACGACACGCTAAGCAGATTTTTATTGCAAGTTCCACAAGGTCCCAGTTGTTTGGAGCAAAATGAGTCTTCCTGCTAAAAGCATTTGTAAAACAGCCAATTTAATGTCTCCCACTTAGATCCACTATTTATCATTTAAGAATTTAACTTTGTTCATATTGCTGGGGTGCAAAAAGTGTTTGAGTACGACTGCCTATTGTGCTCAGCGGAGTTAGTGTACTGTTGTGTCTAGGGCAGGGGTGTTCACACTTTTTCAGCATGTGAGCTACTTACAAAATGACCAAGTCAAAATGATCTAATGATACAAAGCCAAACAAACTGCACTGAAACACTCTGTGCCCCTATTTTGGACCCTCACCCACAGTTTGAGAACCTCTTCTTTAAGAGAACTTCCTCTGGCACTTTACACAAAACTGTGAAAAAAGTGAAGGAAGATTTTTAAACCTGTTTTTTAAAGTTCCAAACTGGAGTTACATTCTTTTCTGGTTTTGCAGTGATATTTACCAGCCTCTGCACATTTACCAAACCAAACGCACATCGTGACAAACACAGATGCATTTGTGCACTTTTGTTAGACAAACTTCAGCCAAATGTGGCAGTAGGTCTGTTCTGTAGATCCGCTCTATGCTGTAGACCTGCTTTGTGCCAACACTGGAACACAAATTTAGACTGGTTTTTGCTTCACGTTTGGTCTTGCTCTTCTAATCAGCCGCACTGTGGGAGGGGCTTGTGTTCGCTGTACGCAGGAAGGAGCGAGAGCGTGAAAAGGCGAGGGGCGGCGTGCTGACGTGAGGCAGATGGACAGGTAGGATGTTTAGGAAGTTGAACCTGCCCTGTGATGCACGCTGGTACACGAGGGCACACGCTGTCGCAGACGAGCCGTGCATAGGGAGCGTGTGTGTTTGTGATGTGCCGTAGAGTCTCCGCGGGTTTCAAATGAGCGCACAGGCTGCACTGAGACGCCCCACACGCTCCTGCACCCGCTACAAGTTTATTACCAACAGCAGCGGCCGTAATGAAATATGATCACACTTGTTGAGTGTCAGACCTCGAGTGAGAGACAAGACCGAGTCCAAACACGATTGAGTCCGAGACGAGTACTAAAACACGACGATCTACCCACACGACCTTGGCGATCGACTGGTAGATCACGATCGATTGACGTATTGAGCACCCCTGGTCTAGAGGCAAGATGCTTACGATAAAGGTAGGACACTTATCATTTTGGATGTCCAATCACATTTTTTTGCCCCCTCGTCCAAGTCATTTAATTTTGAGTATCTGCCGATACCGAAATCCCGATCCGATACTTCTATAAAACATTATAAAATGAACTAAGAGCAAAGAATAAGATCAGATTGTATTGATTTCATGTGTAGTATTTGGGCTGAACTTAGTGTGAAAAATAAAATGTCCATAACTTTAATTGTTTTTATAAATTTTTCTAACCATGAACCATCATTGTTGAAAATCTTGACTTTTACCACAGTCTGGTCTTGGAATGTGTAACTTAGTAAACTTAATGAACTGGACAAAACAGGAACCAGACCAGAATCAGATCAGACCTGAGACTCGACTCTGCACAATCTACACTTTGTATATTTGATATTATATGTTTGCATGTGCATTATATTTGAAACATTTAGGCTCATCTATGAAATCCAAATAATACAAAATCTTACCAAATAAAAACGAGATGGCAGAAGCCCCACAGCCTCTCTCCCCCGGCCGCCCCCACTCCCCCCGCACCACCACCACATCCACAAACTCACAGCAGAGCGCAGCGCAACATCAGTCCCACCGCTCAATAGACACTTCATGCCGCTTTTCCCACCCTCTCCGCCAAAAGCGCCAACTCCATTGTGCAACATGCAAACAAACAATGCTGTGTGATGAAGCCATTGGCCGAGCAGGTGTGAACACAGGCCACAGAACCACAGGTAACAGCGCCTGAGTACGGCACGGCCCAAAAGTCCCAGTGCGAGTGCACCTCTAGTACAGCAGGCGCTGGGACAGACAGTCACGCTGACTGGACGTCCCTGAGGAAATCCCACGCCTCAGTTAAAAAAAAAAAAAAAACTTGTGTGCTGTGTGTCCTGTGTGGTATATATGTATATTATTTATCTGATACCTGATCGGACCATAACGGCCGAGTCCAGATCAAGTCCGCAGTCACGTGATCGGATCGGGACAACCCTACTTATTATACACGTTGGCTATGATCCTCTACTGTTACGCTCAATATTAATAAATGTCTTGCCAGTTCCATTAACCCAGAAAATATGGAGATGGTTACCACAAGGGGAAAAAAAAAATCTAGGTTAAGAACATTTTACTTTATTTGAGTAGATTCGACTTGACAAGTAAAAGTATTTACCAATTGGAAGTGTGTTTTTCTTAATTCAAGCAACATTCAATTTTGTTTCTTATTTTAAATGCAAAAAGTTGTTGTTTTTCTTATTTTAACAGTAGCCAGATGTATTTTCATATTTTAAGTACAGAAAGTCTTATTCCACTGGCAGATCATTTAACTTGTCAAATAAAATTTAAAAAACTTTCTTAATTCAAGTCATCTGAACTTGACTAAATTTAGTTTTTTGCAGTGCATGCACCTTTCCACGTTTCCATGTTTGTGGACATGTGAGCCCCCAAGAGTAAGAAGTGGTTGTGCAAAAGTTGTTCAGTGCAATAAACAAAACAAAAATGAAAGAACCATGCTTTTATTTCAGGCTATTTTTGGCTAAAATGTCCCATACTGTGGCTTTAAGATAAACAGCATTTAATGGGATACCAATGATGATTTTATATATATATATATATATATATATATATATATATATATATATATATATATATATATATATATATATATATATATATATATATATATATATATATATTCAATATCTATCTATCTTTTCCTATTTATTTGTTCCGAATTGTGTAACCTGTAATCTGCTTGTCTCCATGAAGGATAAATCGGTTAAAGCCATACTGTGGAATATTCCATATGAAGCAGTAATACCTCCATGGAAATAATCATAATCATTGAAATAAACCTACATACCTGCACATCCTTTATTTGTCAATAGCACAATGGCATTTTCCCCAATAGGACACAGAGATAATCCATTGATCATTTGTTCATTTGTTTTTCAAAATACAACCAAAAATAAGAAAATGAAAAAACAACAATTATTTGTCTCTAAAACCAAAATGGAAAAAAAAAAAAAAAAAAAACTGATAATGATTCGTTGCTTTTTTTTTTTTTTTTTTTTTTCAGTTTTCAATTTTGTTTTTACATGAATAATGGAAAAAATGAATAACGGCCGTTTCCTGTTTATGTGATTTAAACTGCGATGCCGGACTTTTGCACCACTTACGGACTGAATCAAGACTAAACCAGGACTAAACCAGGACTAAACCAGGTCTAAACCAGGTCTAAACCAGGACTAAACCAGGTCTAAACCAGGACTAAACCAGGACTAAACCAGGTCTAAACCAGGACTGAACCACGACTCAAACAAGACTAAAGCAGGTCTTAACCAGGTCTAAACTGGGACTAAACCGGGTCTAAACCGGGTCTAAACCAGGACTGAACCAGGACTAAAGCAGGTCTAAACCAGGACTAAAACAAGTTTAAAGCAGGTCTAAACCAGGACTACAACAGGACTAAACTGGTCTCAATCCTGGTTTCAGTCCTGGTCTCAGTTCTGGTCTCTGTCCTGGTCCTGGTCTAGTCTCGGTCTCAGTCTCGGTCCCGGGCTCAGTCCTGATCACCCAACAGTCTACGCAGTCCTGGTTTAGTCCTGGTTCAGTCCGGTTCAAAAGTCCAGCATCACAGTTTAAGTCACGGAAACGGGAAACGTCCGTTATCCGTTTTTTTTTTTTTTTTTCCATTATTCATTTAAACACAAAAAAAAAAAAAAAAAAGAATCATTATTAATTTTTTCATTTTGGTTTTGGAGACAAATAATGAAGAAAATAGTTGGCTTTTCATTGTCTTACTTTTGGTTTTATTTTACAGAATGTGAAGAGTGCAGAACATTTGTGAGCTAATGTTGAAGTCAAACATGGACAGTCCACTTTCCAGACACATTTATTGGGCTGATAACATTACTCAAACACAGTGTATGACCATTGTAAACAAGAAAACAAGAAAAAAGGCATCAGCTCTCCAGAAGTCAAAGTGCGCCAAGCTTTTTAAAACTCTTTTTTTTAAATCCTCTTTAAATATCTTTTTGTTACTTTGTTACTTTTCTTTACATTTTTATGCAGTATTCATAATTATAATATGTACAAATGAGGCCAAGACACTGGTAGCTCCGAGGCTGTTGAAAAGCCGGTAAATATTATGCCCCTTGACGCGAGTGTTTTTCGTAAAATGGAACGTAAGGCCGTGTCCCGCTAGCATGCCTCTTCGAGAATGGATTGTGGATCGTCTTGACCGTCAAAAAGTTGGGGCAGTGACTTGTAGTTCTTGACAGCTCTATTTACAAAGTCCCAGCATGGTCCGAGATGGCTATCAAATAAATGCTTGTTGTTTAGCCAAGTTCTCCCAAAAAATGTATCAAAATGTCCTTATAGATATCAAGGGGAGGGGGGGTTGTTAGCAGGTGATAGCATCGAGGGTTCTTCTCAATGTATGAAAACAGGAGTCTCTCTTTGCCTCCAGAGCAAAGTTCATTGGTTTCAAGTTCTTGTTTTTCTATACAATGGTAATTCATGGGTGAGCAGATGCGCGGTGGAGCGGCCAGGTCCCTCGCGGATCTTCTCCTGGTCGGGTCGGCGTGGGTGGTGAAGTCGGCGAGGTGCTACTTCAGCAACCACTCGTTCACTAGAAGAGAAGAGAGAAAAGGGGTTCAAATGAGTGATCGCATGGTCATATTACCTTTTTCTTCAGCCTAAACTCTTTCGGTCATGGATTGTAGTCTATGTTTGTTTTGTTTTGTTTTGTAGTGTTGTAAAATGACTGGATAAACTACTACTACTACTATATTAAGCGAAACAGCCTTTTGTGAGCCATGTTAGAACATTGTTACTAGTGATGGTCAAATGAGTCGGAGCTCTGGAGCACGTCTCGTTCTTTCTGAAACAAATTGCTCTGAAGCACTGCCTCGGAGCTCGTCTCACAGCAGCTCACGTGACCAAAGTGTGGAAGTGTCAGGTCCCTCCCCCTACTGCTTCGCTCTGCGTGTCGATCGCTTCAGTGTATCGAAGCGTTTCATTGGCTCAGTGAATGTTCTGCTCTGTGATTGGTTCAGAGTGTTTCAGAGTGTTCAGTGCACTTCTGTGGTTTGACAAGCGTGAAACTGCTACAGTATAAAAGATGCACCAATATTTGTTAAAAATGTTGGGTAGTGAGGAGGATTGTGTGACGTTAGTGGTGATTTTGGTGCCTTTTGGCATTTGTTTCATTTTTGATGGTGTCTGCAACTGGAAAAAAGCGATCCATGGTTTGGGATCATTTTGATCTAATTCCACCTAACAAGGTAACACCTATTTTCTTATTTACAGCAGCTATTTATGTTGCTCTTTACATATTATTTTAAATCATCATTATTATTGTTGTTGTTGGGTTCGGTGTTGCTCTGCACACAAGTATTGTCTTACACTAACAATACTTCATCGATGCTGAGACACCTGCGTGCCAATGGTTAAATTTGTCCACTAGAGGTCAGTGTTTCTCCGAGGCCTCAGACACGTCCAACCATTTGAGACAATATTGTGACTGAAGTGTCAATGCTTCACGAGGCTCCATTCGCCCATCACTAATTGTAACCTCCTCAATAAACATACCTCCACTTGTCAAAAGAATGTTGCCTTTACTGTAAAAAGCAAAAAGGGACAAGGTTCAAGCTCAAGCCACACTGACTGAATTAAAAGTCCTTTATTCCCATATTTTCCAGGCTATTAGACGCGCTCTTAAGCCTCCAACCTCATCAAAAAACAACTGGCCGCCCCACAATCCAGAGCGCCCTATACACAAATCCACTCGGGTGTCCCAGCACGACTTCAGTAAACTACAAAGCCGCACCACCCGCAGAACACACTCATCACTCCACACGGACGAGGAACAACTGAACAACTGAGTCACTGCGAACACGCCGACAATCCAGCGACAGACAGCACCCTCCCTACACGCCACAACTGAACAAAGCCCAGAGTCACCGTGAACGAACAAACAAACAAAACCACTCACCCATCACACTGTTGTGTTTCCTTTAAAGTCATTTAGAGTTCGAAAATAGACCATTCTATGACGTCTTATAATCCAGAACACCTAATAGTGCGGAAAATACGGTACATGGAGGAACGCCAACACATTTCAACCAGTAAAATGGTCTTTGTCAGGGCGTTTTGTTGGTCGAAACACATTGGTGTCCCTCCATGTAATAAAGGACTTTTAATATATTCAGTCGGTGAGTCGGGTTTGAACCTTGCCCATTTCTACATTTTACATTTTACAGTAAATGCGACATTCTTTTGAGAAGTCAAAATGTAACACTTGTTGAGAACATGTACGTGTGCAAAGTACTGGGGGGGTTGTAGCTAGATTTTCCTATCCTCGGTTAGAAAGCACAGGAGACTTGATAGGCGATAATGAACTTTAATCCAATCCAAACATGATAATTGAACAGTAGACATACATGTGCTGGTGTGTGTGTGTCTGTGTGTGTGGTTTAGTGTAAAAAAATAAAATAAAATCAGCAAAAAAGGAAATAATTAAAATCAAGTATGATACAGGTAAATACACAGATGACTAACATGGCAGTAACAAGGCTTATAAGTGACTCAACAGCGCCCTCTTTTGGTCAGAAAAGAATGTACTGCGAGGTTGAGTTAACAGTTTGGTGACGTCGTGAATATTAATTAGTGGAGGCGGCCAAAAATTATATAACTGAAATAAAATTATATAAGCATGATATAAAGGTGACAAACAAGCAACATAATCACTTAACTAAAACTAAAACTAACATAAAGATAAACACCGGGTATAAATTACACACAGGATTATATTATTGGTGAACATGTGCCATTAGGCGCCTCGAGACTCCACAAATTGAACTCCAAATTGTTGCTACATTTGGGTGTCTGAACAAATATACATAATGATATATATTAGAGGTCTGCGTGGGACAGAATTTTCAGTCCCGCTCCCGCCCACACCCGCAAAGAATTGTAACTTTCTTTCCCACTCCCGCTCGCATCTGTGATATTTTGTCCCGCTCCCGCCCACAAGTCCCGCAGGATAGGGGTGTTTGCTTTCTTAAGCTCTATCAGACACGGAGAAGCGGAAAGCGCTAAATTAGACCACGTATGCAAATTTAGGCTTCTTAAAATGTTTTTATTAATGCCAAATCAAATATCCAGCGCAAATGATGAATGGTATGCTCACATTCATCAGTTGTATATTTTACTGCAGTTTATCACCCACCCGCTCTATTTTCAGGTCCCGAGGGTGCAGGGCTCTAATATACATATATGTACAAATACAAATCCACCACAACACTTACCATTAACGCATGTACATGTCCAACACAACGCACTTGAAACAACTGCTCGACATAACACTGGTAGGACTAGGCCAAACATGACCCGCAAAGTGGACTGAACCATTATAGTGGCCACTAGGAGGAGCATGGAGCAGTCCAAATGACAATTACCACAGTGGGTTTTGTATCAACCCTTGTAGAGCACCTGTACTGCTATTTTTATGACCCAGTGAAGCGTTCTACCTTCTCTCACTCTGATACCTGGAGTTGTGTTTTGTTTCATTCACTCGGTTGTTCTACATCCCCAAAGCTCAAAATGCTCTGTTCCATCTTATGATGTCATGAAGCTGTAGTTTTCAAGTCAAAAACTCCTTTTACCTTTAGTTCTTTTAGCAGAGATGAGCAGTTCCAAAGCTGAAATCACCTAAGTGATTCTAGTGAAGGTGGAGGGAGTTTAAAAACACTATGGATTGAGCACTTCCTGTATTACCACATGGCATCAGGAGGTGGAACAGTGTCTTTTTGAGAAGAACTCAGTCTAAATGTGCAGTGTTTTTGTGTTAAATGTGTGTGAATGAAACAAAACACAACTCCAGGTCTGTTTGTGATGAGGAAACAACATTAGAACATCGATCAGAAAATAGCGCAATATTTAACAACATTTAAAGAACCGATTGCAATATCAGACCTCATGGAAAGATTGCACACAAATAGACTATCAAAAAGACCACCACAGGAGACACAAATGAATTCCAGGAGAGACATGCTTTATATTCTAAAATATGTTTTCCAATGTCCCCAACATCTTCACGATCAACCATACCGCCTTTGCAAATGCCCAAACTCAGGAGCTAAGCAAAGCTGGGTTGGTTTAGAACTTGAACTGAAGACTGCTGGGTGTCACTAGTGGGAAGTAAACAAGTACAAAAGCAAAATTAAGTTGTATTCTGTATGTAGGGCACGTAACACGGTGATGGAGTCCTCTCACCTGGGCCTCCTGGACACAGACTGTTCGCCCTCCTGTCTTCTGGATGGTGCTACAGGAGCCGTCACACTACCTCCCCAGGACTGTCACTCTCCTAAACTTGCACTTTCAATGATGCACTTCAGTTTACGAAAATGTAATGAACGCCAAACTGCGAACGCCAAACTGCTGTGCCTTTTTGTAACTTTCTACCATATTATAATGCAACTGAAGTGGTTTTATATCCCTCCGTGCATGTTTGAGTAATCTAGCAATCTCTGCTGGACACTAAACGAACCCTCCTCAAGTTGAGCAGTACGAGCACACTCATCTTATACAAGGCCCCACCCACAAGTCCACATCACCCATGATCCCGCACAGTCATTTTTCATACAAGAGCTTAACTCTTCCAGACCTAAAGGCAATTTTAGTACATTTGTCCTCGTCTGGATTTTTTTTCCTTAATTTTGATATTAAAAATCCCCTTTTACCCCCTATTGAAGTGTTATACATCCTTTTTTTTTTTTTTTTTTCCAGTACAACCTATTATTTCACAGTCTGCTGCTGTAGTGTAATAAAAGTGGCAAGACCAGAAATACAAACAAACAAACAAACAAACAAACAAAACAAAACAAAACAAAAAAAACTGAAAAAATAAATAAAAATAAATAAATAAAATAAAAAATCAAGTCTGTAAGTAAAGTCAAAATGTACTTATTGCCTCACAAACAAACAAACAAACAAACAAACAAACAAAACAAAACAACAAAAAAAAAAGTACAATGGCCCCATGACTTTGTGCTCGTGTCAGGTCCAGGGCATGGAGCCACATCACTTCCTGCATTTTCATGGGGTTTATTACATTTGGATTTGGACATTTGGACCTTTCAAATAAAAAAATAGCAAGGGACGCACAATTACACAGCCCCAGATGTGTAATTTTCCATTTATTTGAGAAATAAGTGCACTTAGAGCGACTTTTTAATTGTTACGAACAGAGACGTTCAGAGCATCGACCATTTTGACTCACTACACTCTTTGGCAAAGTTTGGACCAATCAAAATGTATGGAGCGCATGAGTTTGGTGGAAAACAAAGTTCCTATTGGACACTCGTTTTCCCTACGTCATCATGCAGCGTGTGACGGAGGATCATTCTGGAAATGTGCTCGGAAAGCTGCAACTGTCAACTTTTCTAGGGGCAAAAAGTACGTTTCTATATTTTATGGTTAGAAAGTTATGTGCGGTTATGTAAATATGTACATTTCCGGTTTGGAAGGATTAAAAATCAGCAGAAACCACACACTACAACAGGTTTAAATGATGCACTATAGTAAATGTAAATGAACTAAACAGCAAACTGCAAATTTTACACCTAA